AGTGAAATATAGAGGTCACGATTTGGCCCATTATGATAAAAGAGAGACAAAACCAAAGCTTGAGGTCTTTAACTTACCTTCCCCACCTCACAGTCAAACTGGGGCTTGGCAGGTTCCTCAGTTTCTCCCTTCGCTGCAGCCTTGAAGGACAGCACCATCTTCGCCTTGTCGGGGTCACACTGAAGAACTTTAGTCTTTAACACCTGGACGGTCAACCAAAACAAGAAACAAATCAGATGTCAAATCAAGGGCTTGTGGTGGTTCCCAAACATCTCGAACAAAGACAACAAAAACCTTACACCGGATCACTCCTAAATTTTATTTGATTTCCTCACCTGCCCGACATAGAAGACCTCCTCAGGATTGATGATGGGCTCAGAGCTGAGTTCACTGAGTGGCACTAGACCCTTGACGCTATTGTAGAAACGAACGATGCAGCCAAAGTTTTTGATGCAGACAATGTAGCCGTGGGACAAGCTGCCGGGACGAGCATCAGTAAAGCTGAGGAACAACGGCAGGGAGCTTTCAACCAGGGCCTTCTTTCTGGTCAGGTACAGCTTCTTATTCTCTGCATCTACTGACAGCACCTGCAGGAATATACCCCCACACAAACACAGAGGAATAAGACACATATCTGCCAAAGAGTTGAAACTGTGTATTCTACAGATTGCTTAACAACAGGCTTAAAACAAAGTAGAGTAAACTGCACTGACCCGACATTTGACTTTCATGCCCTCTATGTACTTCTTCTCTGGGTTTTTGAGGATGATGTCAGAGAGGTGTGTCCGAGGCACCAGACCTTTAATGTGGTCAGACAGATGCACCACCATCCCGTGATTCAGCAGGACTGACACTGTGCCCTTGGAGGAAAAGACACGTGGAAGAAAGAGGATGTGAGACAGATAACAGAATCAGGGAGAGAGACAGGAAGGTATACAAAGGAAAGAATAATATATGTGGAAAGGGTTGTTAAATGAATGTTTAAACACAATTAAAACAAAGATTTCTAGATTTAATTTTTTGTTCATTAACTCAATTTTTTTATCAATCTACACAGATGTTAGCCAAACAGTTCGATTTCCTGATGAAGAATCTTTAAAGTCACATCTATACCTACTCCCTCATTGAAAAATCCCGAATCTCTGAATGTGCCGATATGTTTTCTTGCAAAGGTTTAACTACTAGATACAAGATTTCTCCTACTTCACTGAAAAGTCCTTCTGAAGTGTGCGTGACCTGGAGGCCTCATGTTTCCACATCACACTTATATACGTATAACTCGCGTATTGTACTGTGACTGGCTTCCAAAGTTGCGATGCTTTAAAAGAACATTTTTGCATTGCCTTTGCCACTGACTGAAACATTGCATTTCTGATGTTAAGTATGTTCTCACTGCTGCTTCTTCTTAGGTCCGACTGTCAACCTTGCTGATGTGATGCTGCGCGACTTAAATGTAAACACTTTGGGCTTTTAAAGTGAGACGCTGCCATGTGTTGCCTAACAGATTTTTAGAAATGTCAACACAAGCAAAGTTTACAATTACCTCCACAACTTGACCAGCCTGCAGATCATGATATCTATAAAAAGGCCTCTCAATCACACTCCTGCAAAAAAGACGAGAAACATTTTTGTCAGAATTTCAAAATGGATTTCTGAGTTCAATGCTCACTATGGGGGAAGTTCAGAGCCACACACCTGCGCAGACTAACAAAATGAATTTGGTCAATGGGGCTGTAGTCCAGGATCCTGCAGGTGTGCTCAGGCATCGCCAGCGCTCTGTTCTCATTCGCTGTCTCATTTGACTCTTTTAGGTGGTTCCTCTGTCGGGAAAGACAATAAAATGATTTTAACCCAAGGCTGTGGTGGCAGCATATCAGCCGACAGCATTTATTCTTTGTTACAACTAAAATTGGATAAAACTCACGTGCACAAATGCCAACGTTTCGCCAGGCAATTCCAACATGGCTCCAGACATGTGGTGTATAGTCGTTATTTTGCAGCACTTCACCACCTCACCAATGCGGTCACCCCCCGCAGGGGTGGGGTCAATAGTTTTCCCAGGCTGAACGAGGAAGCTGCGCAGACTCAAACCCACCAGACGTGTGGTCGGCTCCACGTAGAGCACACGAGCTTGCACCTGGGTGGATGGATGCAAAAGCGCAAAAGAGGGTTAGGATGCCAACTTTATAATCAAGTACGAGCATGTGAGACAGAAAGACTGAGTGGTAACATGTAATGTTTTCATCTGAGACCTTTAATAGGGTGTATTTTAATTGAAAACATCCATGAGAGCAATAACAGACACAATGTCTTAGATGCCAAAAGCATCCCTGTGCTGAGTCAGGTTTACCTCAGTTCCCTCTGTGTAGTCGGACGCCTGTTCTGGCTCCATGTGGAGAAAGTCCACCTGGCCACTAAAGGAGGACAGGAAGTCCAGGATCAGACCATGTTTGGTCACCTGCAATAAAGAAATGTCAACATTATCAAAATGAATTTATTACAGTGAATAAACAGGAGATCATTCACTGAACAAAAGACAATAGACTTTAACCAATGAATTTTCCTCCTATATTTGGACAGACTCATATCATAATAATAAACTAAACATAATAAATGTCATTGTCTTCTTATCTCTACCTTCTTGATTGTAGATTTGAGCAGAAGACCAGGCAGAAGGTTGGTGAGGTTCCATCCCTGCGTGGATTCAGCACAGGCCTGGGAGATGGTCAGGGGGTTGACAGAGAGCTGGACCACACGCCCTTCATTCTTTACTCCGTCCACATGAGAGGTCACATACTGACCCACTTTCAGCTCTGTAGACATGAGAACGCAGAGTAAGACGTGAACTCCTGAGATATTTTGATCTCTGCAATTATTATCTCTGAATGAATTTCCTCATTTAATGAAAAGCAAATTTAAAATGCTGTGTAATACCCTCTGGGTTGTTGTGTTTGTCTTTTACTGTTTTCATAGGCAGGAAGGCTTTGGACCCACTGAGTCCAATGTCAACTATGCAGCCATGATCCTCCACACTTTCCACACATCCACTCAAGACCTACATCAATACACAATGACAACATATCAGTACATTTTTGGTTTAATAAAAATTCAAACTGAATATTTGTTTGACTGATTATGTGCATTAATGACTCACCATGCCAGCTTTCAGAGAGCTTGAGGTGAGACCCTTGTTGACCAGCTTTGGATTGATTGACAGCTGGATGCTCAGAGAGCCTCCTCTAGCCACGTCTAACTTGGCAACCACACATCTCAACACCATGCCGGGGTAGAAGAGGTGTGGCAGAGAGCAGATCTCCTGTGAAGTACAGGAACCAGATATTAGAAATATATTACAAAATATCCTGGGATGTGTGCCAACTTCTTTATTAGCAGGATATTCAAATAATCGCTCCACAGGCCTACCTCTGTGTCAGCTGATTCCAGTTGCTCATTGAGCAGCTTGGTGTACGAGTCGCTGATGTTCTTGATGCTGAGGAAACCTCTTAGACCACAAGGCAGACTGACTGTCACCTCAAAGTCTGCGACCTCCTTCACACATCCGAGCATCAGCATACCTTCCTTCACATTCTGGGGGAAAAGAAACCACACCCAATATCAAGTCAGATACTATGCTGAATACCCTGACTAACCTTTTGATTCAGAGAAGTGCCACACTAAATATAATTTTACTGAGAAAAACAGTCTACTTGACACATTTAACAAATTCCAATTATGCGTTGGGTCTTTCCAAATATATTACCTTTATATGTAGGATTTCCACACACTTGGCTGCTGCATTGAGTGTCAGACCATGTCCTTTTTCTTTGCTCGTCTTTTGCTTCTTGAGTTTCTTGCCATCATCTTTGCCCGCCCCCTTTCTTTTCTTAGTTTCTGCTTGTTCGTTTGACTGCAAGAAAGATGCAACCATCATTAACCGGGGAAGACATTTTACTGATATATTCTAGTGTGAGACTCAGTATATGGTGCACTATCAACATTTATCTACACATTTTGTGAAAACGATGGAATATGAAGGGAGAATGAGAAGAGCAGACATGAAAGAAGGGCTTCCACTTCAGCAATGTATGGGTGTGAAGTAGAAGAATACACTGTGTGGTATTATGTGATAATCCAGTGAGTTGTCCAGATAAAGTATGTATTTGCATATATATGTGGACACAAAGACAAAAAAAAAGGGATGAACTCTACCTGGAACAGGTTGTCCACTTCGGTCCGCTGCGCCACTATTTTACTCTCAGTGGGCTTCTTTGCTGTCCCTCCTCGAGGGAAGTCTTCCTCCACTGATGCCATGTTTGATGTTGATTCAGACGTCTGAGAAAATTAAAGGTACTGTGAATAAATAGCTTGTTTCAAGGATTTTAACTGATGATGACACACCACAACCTAGAGAGTGGACATGGTCAGGCTCTAGTGCAAATTTGACTTCTTTAATGTAACTGCTGATTTTACATTTGAAACGTTTACATTCATGATGAACGTTATCGACGTCATCGTCTCAAATGTAAAAACACAAAACCACATACTGTCTGACCACTCTAATACAAGCATAACTATTTAGAAAGCAGAAAGAAGTCAAGTGAATCAGTAACATTCCTGTATCCCCCGTTGAACTGAAAACATGCATGGGATAATCGTTAGCTGACCGTAACATGTTTTGATATTTGTCCTGAATACGTAGCAAGCCTCTATACAAAACCCCGTTTTCGAATTAAAGACATTCTATAATATAGTCTCAGTATTTACAATGAAATATCCCTTACATTAAATCTCCAGCTTTCTGGATAGCCAAACTCACATGTTGTTCAGCAACACGCCATGATCCCAACCCGGAAGAAAAACTCATACGGGCGTTTCATTCTTTGTCCAATCACAGAGGAGAAACAATGATTGACACTATCTTCAGCCATTTAGCGATCGTGTTGGATTCCAACTTTGAGTGACATTATTTCGGACCAATAGTTCACACTTTTAGACTACTCTGAGTAGTCGGGACTTCCTTGCGAATTTAGCATTGCGGCCTCTCCTGAAGGACACCTGTCTCATACTGTTTTTGCAGGGGTCGTGTGTTAAAGGTAAGAAGTAGAACATTTAGGAATAAATTAGCCGATTCACATTGGATATAGCAATGCTTAGCAGTACCTGTGTTGTCTTTAAACCGTCTCTGTGACGATGCACTATTTAACTAACGTTCTGAAAGTTAAGTTAGCTAGCAAGCTAACGTAGCAAGCTACTTTAATTTAGCGCAGTGTGCTAGCTAACGACTTATAATATTCCACTGCCTGATGAAAGTCAGTCTGAATGAAATACATGCGCTAAGTTTATTCGTCAACCACACGGTTAATGAGTTTAAGTGGGTTAATTTGTCAGGAGTCTGTCCTATCCTGGATTACTATGCGAGAGCTCCTTGTTGGCGTCCTGGTGTCAGTTCTTGTCATAGCACGTATAGACAGCTACCGTTTAAATTGCAATCTTATGTAATCGCGCTTGTAACTACAGTAGCGAATTTACAATAGCAAGACAGTTGTTTTTGCCCAAACTAAATGCTGAATTTATTAAGGGTTCCTTGAATCATTTTTGAACGTGCTTGAGTTTTGCTACATCCGTTGTTGCTGAAACAGTCGAGATTACCGTGCAATAATTATGTCAAGCATTGCGTGACAAAATACCAATTTAAACCAGTACTAGAGATTATTATAGGTCTGCAACTAAAGACAGTTTTCATCATTGATTCGGTCTTTAAAATATCAGAAAATAGTGACTATCCATTAGTTTCTCAAAGCTCAAGGTTACGTCTTCAAGTATCGTGTATTTTCAAGCAGTAATGAGGGATTCGGATTGTTAAAATAGCTGTATGAATAGCGTTTTAAATTGACTTACACTTAATTGATCGACACAATCAAATGTGCCCGTTTTTGCAGATTAATTTTAGGACAATATATTAATCGCCTCAGCTCCAGACTACTTTGTCAGAGGTGCTGCTGCCAAGGTCAAGAACAAAATGCTCAATTACTATAATATGAATCAATTATTCACCTGTTATTCTTTGTGGTAGGACCATAAACTATCCAACATGGGAGGACATGACGCCGGAACCCAGCACCAGTTCACTGGGTTTGCCAAGTACTTCAATTCATACACAATCACAGGAAGGAGGAATGTGAGTTGTTTGCAACTTTCCTGTAATAAACTGCATGTCACACTTGACAGTTAAACTGTCTAACAGCCTGCCTAATATTGCACTGCTAAAATGCATCAATAAGCTTCTTGTTTTTTTTTTTCCTGTAGTGTGTTTTGGCTACATATGCCAGTCTAGTTGCCATTGCCCTTTTCTTCAAATTGAAGCCCAAGAAACAGGCCGCCGTCACAGAAAAGTGATAATGTAAGTACATTTAAGTCTTTCCATCCTATTAGTTTCCATATCCATTCTACTTAAGTGAAGTGTTGATCTATTCAATTCATTTAAGGCTCGTTATCTCCTTTACAGGTGTCCATTTGACCATCAGATCTAGCAGCTGGGAGTGGAGAGAGCTGTATGTGCTTGTAATAAATATGAGTGTTTGATTTCCCTGTGTTAACAATAAAGAACATTTATGCCCAAACATAAAAACACTTTGTTTTATTTACAGTGTACACCAGTATAAAAGACTATCATACAGACATGTCAGCCATGTGTTTAGCTGTACTCATGGCAGTGATTTTTAGAAACGGCCCTCAATCAACAATGGCACTTTTTTCAGGCAAAGGAATATCTGCAATACATGAGCTTGATTTGGACCCTGAATCTTTCAGACTGAGGGCCAGGACAGGAGTGGGCTAACCTAATTTTTATCCTCATTCACAGCTAGATTTTCACCAGAGGTGAACTGACAATACAGTCTTGTTGTACTCTCCTTGCCCCACAAACCTCAGTTGTTTGAGGAGCTCTGGGACCAAACATTTGCATCATTTCAAGCTTCCATTGATTATTAATATAATGACTGAGTAATGTCTTATGGATTGTAGGCCCCTGCGGCCAGCAGCAGGTTTCTCCGGGTGAAGTGAAGGTGTATCACAGGTGTGGATTTAGTCATGTAGGTGCCCAACAGAAGCTCCTGGGAGTTATCTTGTAGATGAATGTGTCCTGTGGCTGCTGTGAAGTCATCAGTCTCTAAATCATCAAATGCTTTCATTGCATCCCACAGACGAACTGTGTTGTCCATGGAGCCTAGAGAAAGGAGGATACTGTAAATGTTGATTCACGCAATAGAAACATGGTCATTGCAGCTATAATTGCAGAAACTCAAAATGAAAAGTAGGCTTCATCAGGCTCTTAATTAAATGTAGTTGATTAAAAGTATTACAAGAGGTTGTGGAACACCCACCGGAGGCAAGGATCTCGCCATCCCTGCTGAACCTGAGGGAATAGATGGTATCTGTGTGGCCTTTGAGCTCTCCAACCATCAGACCATGACCGATGTCCCACAGAAGAACTCTGCCATCAGTGGCTCCAGAAGCCAAGAACTTCCCATTCGGAGAAAAAGCCAGCGCATGGATAGGACCCTGAGAGATAAAGGTGAAAGAGTGGCTCAGTAGTCGTCTCTACAGCACTCAACTCTGCTAGCTGTGCTGCTGTAAAGATATGTGAATATTTAGCATCTTTAAATCAGTGGATGTAGAGAATATTTTCTGAGTAATCAAACAACTATGAAGGTAAGGGTGCCTCAATTCTTTCATTGCCCTTATCAGTACTCTTAATGGTATCAAATCTTGTACTTGAAATCTTGTTAAACTATTAAACCTGGGGCGCCTCACCTGGTAGAGTGCGTACCATTAAGGCTTAGTCCTAACCGCAGCGGCCATGGGTTTGAGTCCAACCCACGGCACCCCCCCACGAATTTACTGTCTATCTCTCACTTTACTGTCTGATGCAAAAATGCCCAAAAGTATAACTTTAAAAAGAGTTTATAAATATACCACAACAGATCAGGTTATCATGCTCTTAAACCATCGTGATAACCCTTGTTAAACTGCTCTGGTGACTCATCTGACCTTATGACCGGTGAATATGCGGACACAGTTGCCATTTAGGACGTCCCAGAGGCGGATGGTGCGGTCAGACGACCCTGTGGCCACATAGTTGGAGTTGGGGTGGAAACGGGTGCAAGTGACGTCAGCTAGATGACCAGAAAACATCCGTAGAGGCTGGTAGTGATCCGTCGCCCACAGACTGTTGGAGACAGCGCAACACAGACCAATGAAAGATATCTGTTAACAGTGCTGCTGTGCATCTAGAGTATATATTTCTCTGTGGAGAAAACGACTGTGTGTAGGAGTATTATTTCACAAACTAATCAAAGAAGTTCTTCAGTTTCTTACCGGGCAACTCTGTCATGTCCCCCGGAGATAAAATAATAGCCATGGGGAGAAAACTGGGTGTCCCACACAGGGTAATTATGGCCTTTGTAACCCACTAGACAAGTAAATGTTTGGAGACTCCACAGCCTGACGGTACCGTCTTCAGAACTTGACAACAGGTAGTTTCTATGAAGCAAAACGGGCAGTAATTACCTTATGTTTGAATCAATAATGTAAAGATCCAGTTCCTGCAGAAGGTGTGTTTCATGTAACACCAGGTGCATCAGAGCTGTTTTACCTGTCTGGGCTAAAGCTGATGCCATACACCGGGCCGCTGTGTCCGTAGAGGATCTTTGACTCACTGGCTGTCTTCTCGTCCATGATCCTCTCAAGCACATCATCTGACTCTTTGTCAATCAGATTCAAGTCTTGAGAGAAAGTGGGACAAGATGAAAGCAATGAAAGTTTTAGATCAATTATTTTCTAACAATAAAAGAAGTAAAGATAACTTCACACAGTGTCAATCATATTGTACCTGCTGCAGACTTGACCTTGCGGAGCTTTTTCGGTGTGACGCTCCAAACCCGTACTGTGGAGTCAGCGAAGCCTCCTGCAATGAGGCTGGAGTCATCTGTGAAGTCCACTGCAGTCAAACCCTGAAGGGTAAAAGGGTGATAATAATTAGAAATGACTTCTACCCTAGTTTGAATTTGTATTTAACTGTTCAGACTCAGTTGCTTAAATGTGTAAACACCAGTGAATTATGGTGGTCATGAGGTTTTACCTGGTACGCATTTAGAAAAGAGTAGAAGCAGATAGAGGGGAGGTTATCTGGTCCCAGGCGGATCTTCTTGGTGGCCTCCTTCATGTACATGATCTTGTCCAGCTTGTCTGAATCCTTCAGTTCTGGCAAAGGTATCCTAAGCAATGGCAAACAAGAAAATTGTCATCAGTCACCAGGCTTGGGCCAATATATTGCAATATTTCCTGCCATATGCATTATTTTTCATAATATTGAAAAAAAGTATATTTTGGTTTTTCACATATCACGTTAGTGTCCATTAAACATTGTTACATGTAGAGACATTGGCAAGTGCAACATCCTAAGTGGTGGAGAAATAGGCCTCTGACAAAATTATATGAGTGAATATTTTCCAATCAACTTTCTTGTACTGTGTGTGGATAATACTTTCCTTCAAATTAAAAGTTTTAATTCATGAGCAGCATGTTATGAAATTAGTGATTGGAGTAGTGGTGCTTGGTTACATGTAATAAAAGTCAGTCCCCATTCATTTACAAGATAAATGAGAATTCAACAAACACAAGTTGCTATGATAAAATGTATTGAGTATCCCAGTGCTGCAGAACAACCTTCACAGTGTTATACTGTTTTGGCCTTGCACAGTAAGTTGATGAGACAACAGTACTAGCGGTGCAGATGCAGAATTGTACAGTATACTTCAGTGTAAAGAAAATCCTACCTATTCTGTGAAGGTGCATTAGGATCCTGCTTCTTGCTTTTGGAGCCCATGCTGTCCTTTTTGGGTTTCTTCTTCTTGGGTTTACCCTCCTCATTTTCTGCTTCCTCATCCTCATCATCAAGAGGCAGCTCAATTTCTGGTTCCTTCAGTAATCCGTAGTAAACCTACAGCAGTTTGAAAGACAGTGAAACAAGAACATGTCATGAGTTCAACAATGTTGTATAAGAAAAGTGTTGGGAGACAGGGAAAACACAAATCTTATTGAAAAAACCAACCTTCGCCTTATTGGCCTCTCTCTTGGCCTCTCCAGCCAAGCTGCCAGACATGGCATCGATCTGGCTCTTGCTGCGTGGCATGCCATCGAAGATGTCAATGTAGAGGTGCTCTTGGATGATATTCCAGATCTGGTTGTTCTGACGCTCCTGCAGGTGTCTCTTCAGCAGCTGGTAAGAATCACGGGAGATGCGCAGGACAAATTTGCTGGTGCGGAAGTCAAGGAGAGTCTCGTTGCCTCTCATGTGTTCCTTCTTTGACAGGCTGGACAAAACACGCAGGTCATCTTCATAATAGCACTCCTGGTCCCCACTGAACCTGAGATGGAGGACAGAACAGGGAAGGATTTTAGAGGTGTGAGGTGATTGAATATTACCTATATGAAAATCAAGTAACCCATGCTTTAAGTTTGGAAAAAGGAAACTCACTTTTCAAAGAAAGCCTTGGCCTCACTTTCGTGATTGTTGTACACCAACTCCAGATACATGTGGACAAACAGCGGGTAAAAGACCTGGGACAGCTCTGCTCTGTGACAATCCAAAACCGTCTCTATGAACCTCTTCAGGCCGCTGTAGTAAACCTGATACAGAGCCGGGTCTCCCTGCTGGCTGTAAGCGGACAGCACCACATTCACATCTGGCTGATCCTCCCCAGCCGCTGCTGAAAAAGAAGTTCAAGTGAGACGTGCAGTTATACCTTCATTCTACTGGGTGTGTGGAATTGAACTTTTTTTTCAATTACCTCATCTGTTAATTAAGATACAGAATAAAAGCAACATTGCCTTTTTCACAATACTTTTTAACTTGAGAGGTTATGTGATTACACTTCATGACAAGCTCCTTCCACTGATGAAGACCATGAGATGTGGTTAAAAGCTTTGTAAAAACCTAGTTAACTTTGGAGTATTTTGTCTAACTTTCTTGAAATTATTTTATCTGTGTCAAGTGAAATGAAATAGAAAGAATTTATTAATGGTATCAAATAAAAAAAAACTCAAAGAAAATTAGTGAGTACACCAGGAACTGTTCATTCAGTGACCAGAAAAAATAGCACATCGTATGATGTAACAAAACTCAAGCAGCCCTACCATACATACTAACTTTGTAAAGCACTATTTCTTAACTTTTCTACCTCCTTGAGAGGTATAATATAGTAGTTCGGATTTGACAGTGAATGTATAATTTAGCTATAACATCTCTATTTTCATAACAGTTTGTCATCAGTGGAGGATTATACTTATGTTAAAGTCGTATGTGATGTTTGAATGAACAGGAAACGTTTGTGTTAACCGTGCAACAGTGTTTCAGTAGCCAGTGACTGTATCGGACCTTTTGTTGGCGCCTGAGCTCCGGCGGAGGATGAAATGGTCACCCGGCTGAGAAGAGAGCTCGCATCCCCGCCTTCTAAATCCACACTGCCCGCAGCACCTCCCGAACCTGCCCCTGAGGAATCAGTGCCCTTCAGCTCCAGTGAATCCTCAGGTAATCCCGCTTCACGACGCAAAATTTCGACG